CTGTTAAACATTTGGTCCTTTGTTTTTATTCATTTCGATCCAAACAGTGGCAAGCTCTCACTGAAAATGGCCTAGTTTAAAATACCATATCACCATGGGAAAGTGGATATTGCAGTTACTTTTTTTTTCAACTGCTGAATTTATTTTAAGAATTTGAAGGCTTTACCTGTTGATAAAGGGATTTTTTTTTTTTTTGACATACCTCAGAGCAGAGTTTAAGCTATGAGTTAATTAAGAAATGTCAGGTTGTGGTTTGAAATGTTCCTTTGAGATTCCCATGACCACAGGGTCTTATTTCTTGTTTTGGAGTCTAGTTACCTCATACATGAAGGTCACAGGGCATTGTAGTATTCTGTGCACTTTTGTGTTTGCATTTGCACTCGGGACAGTGAAAAGAGTTATCATTCCCAATCTTCATCTCATAATTGGCTTGATAGAGCATTTGTACATGAATTATTATTATTGGTATATTTGTGTTAAAGTCCCCAAGGGGAACAAAGGTTCTTTAGGAGATAGGTTCTGACCAGTACTATGGCCATTACCATGATAACAAAGAATGTGGTTTAGGTTAAGGAGTAGATCATCAAGAGTAATACCCTACTCTTTCTTTATATGTATATGTGTGTGTGTATAAAGTACTGAATAAGAGAACAACAGCTGAAGGACAGCATAAGGAAAATTCTTCCTTTTCAATAAGAGCTGTAAATGCTGTGGTAGACATGTGTGCAGATGTGTGGATCTCTCTTTGAACACTGAAAGTTAGAGATCTAATGATCAGTTTTAAAAATGAGATGTGAAATAAGGGCGCCTGGGTGGCTCAGTTGGTTAAGTGTCTGCTTTCAGCTCAGGTCATAATCCCAGAGTCCTGGAATCGAGCCCCGCATCGCATCGGGCTCCCTGCTTGATGGGGAGCCTGCTTCTCCCTCTTGCACTCCACCTGCTTGTGTTGCTGCTCTCGCTCTCTCTCTCTCTGTCAAATAAATAAATAAAAACTTAAAAAAAATGAGATGTGAAATAGACACATAGAGTATTGCATGTGATGTTTGCATTTTGAATTTGTAAAAGGCACAGCATTCTAAACTTGGGTCTACAGAAAGTAAGAGATAAGAAAAAAGAACAGATGCAGAGAGACATTAATAATTAAATTAATTCAGACTCAAGATAATTTAAAAGTTCTAATAGAGAATTTTATTGGGGAAAGTATAAGATAAAATTTCCATAAGTTACATTTGCTAAGTCCTTGGTGGTAAGTGTATTAAAATTGTCATCTAATGATTGATGCTGAATATGCAGAGCAGGGCCATTGGCTCCTCCTGAGAAGCTCACATTTTCTTTAAAGTCTCACTTGGCAAGCATCACATTTTATGGTGCTAACTTGGCACAGACCTTACAGCTAAAGGAGGCAGAATGGCATAGTTGTGAGGGGCATGGACTCTGGAGCGCATTTCCCTGGACTCCATCCCAGCTCCACCAATTAGTAGTTGCATGATCCAAAGCAAGTTGTACCTTCTTGTGCCTGTTTCTTTATAAAATAAGGCTGATATGAAGATTAAATAAGTTAATAATATAGGGTGTTATAGTGCATGGCACATAGTAGATTATTTTAGCTCTCTGTGCCTCAGTTTCCTATTTTAGGGATAGTAATTGTACTTCTCCAGGGTTATTGTTAGGATTTAATAAATTGATATAATACATACAAATTGCTTAGAACAGTACCTGGCACTCATTTTAATGATTGTTAATATTCTACATGGTAATGATCAGATTTTCTGAACACACAATTTAGCTCTTTCAGAAACATGCTGACTTCATGAAGAATGTTGTTCCCTTCACATACAATTCTTAAAAAAAAATCAGAAGTGCTAGTCAGAAGTTTTGGCACATGATCACACTTGTATCTACAAATTTTGCAATCCTTTGTCGGAAATCACATACTGGTAGAAGAAATTAATTTCCATGAAATCAACAATGAATCTCTTTAGGGGCCTACTCCTAAATTTTATTTATATTTTTATTCAGAAAAAAATGGGTGTTACAGAAAATGTGCATATTTTTTTAAAAGTCATTTTTAAGGACTCTCCCTTTGCCACCAGGGTAGGCTTTCCTGAGAAAATTTTGTCTACTTGGAGAAGTGATTGACCTCGGTTCCCTGTTAAATTCTGAGTACATTCTGGTACACCTGGTGACAAGTAAAAATCTGAACATCATGCAGTTGTTAAAGTTTTGTTTTGGCATAGAAATGCCCAATTTGAAGTCCTCACACTTTGGGCCTTATAAATAACTTCTAATTATTTTTATTCATTCGTTCGTTCGTTCATTCATTCATTCAACAAATAATATTAGGATTCCTATGTGCTTGGACTGGGCTAGGTGTTGGGTACCTTAATGAGAATGTTTGTTTTTTTTTAAACTGTCTATGTGACCCTGCTTAATTGTTTCCATACTATAGGTTGTGGCCCATTAGTAGATTGTAAGATAAATTTAATGGATTGTGACCAGAATTTCTTAAAAGATGAAGTGGAATTGAAAATAGCAGAGTGCACTGCACATAATATTGTTTTCAGAAACTTTTTTTAATACCTCTATTTCAGTATCTATGACATACATATTTGTCATGTGAAATGTGTTATTTTCGATCATTATCCAAAAAATTTGAAAAACTGCACTCAGCAGTAATCTGCATCTCTCTGCACTTCACCTCTCCTCCCCTATTTTCTCTCTTGTTCACTCTTTTCCAAACTGGTTCCTTTGCCTCCCTTCAACTTGCCAAGCACACTTGCCTCTCAGGATCTTTGCATTTATGACCAGCTCTGCTTTGAAAGCAGTTCTCTCAAATATATTTCCTTTGTTTCTGCTCAAATGTCACCTTCTCAGAGATTCCTTGTCTGACCACTCTGTCTAAAATAACTCACCATGCTGTCCATTCTCTCACTTCACATCCCTATCCTCTTTATTCAGCCTCACTTCATTTCTAGAGACTAGAGCTTAAATGGTCTCTGACATGTTACCTTTGCCTGATATGATTTGTCAGTGTTCTGTTGTCTTTCTCTCCCCATCAAAATAAGCACACCATGAGTTCAGGACTTGGTTCTGTTCATCACTGTACCACTGACACCTAGAACAGTGCCTGGCTTATAGTAAATGCTAAACACAACAAAACTTGCTGAATAACTAAAAGAACAAATAGATAATGAAATTAAGGTGTCATATTGGTTTTACTTTATTGCGTGTAAATGATGTTGGAAGGATTAGTGATTTAAATTTGTTACACAGCCCCCAACGACTTGGACTTTCCCCAGCTCTCCAGTTTCATCAATTGCTTTTCCTTCCCTTTCTTGTTCCTCAAGTTTATGATCACTGTGCTCTGACAATTTGGAGATCCCAGTGGTTCAATGAATACACAGAACTGTGCCACACATCCCTGTCTTTGCTCACACTACCCCCTCGGCCTGGGATGCCTTCCCCCCACTCTTGCTTCTCCAAATGAGTGACTGTGCTGGCTCTTCAAGATTTGGTCTGAACCTCATCTTTCCTCAGAAGCCCTCCATGATCTCCCTGACGGGGTAAGATGCTTAGTCTCTGTGCTTTAATATCACCCTGTGTATTTTAGAGAGAGAGCACAAGAGGGAGGAGCGGGAGAGGGAGAAGCAGACTCCCTGCTGAGCAGGGAGCCCAATGCGGGACTCGATCCCTGGACTCCAGGATCATGACCTGAGCCGAAGGCAGTCGCTCAACCAACTGAGCCACCCAGGCGCCCCACCCTGTGTATTTTAAATACCTATTTTTGTGACTTCTTGTTTATGAGCTACTTGAGAGCAGAAATGAGTTATTTCTATTTTTATATTCCTAGAATCCCCCATTGGGCCTGGTATGTACTAGGAATTCAATAAACATTTCTTTCGCTGAAAGGAAACATGTTTGAAATTTCGGACAGTTTATTTCTTAGTTTGTCTGAATTGTATTTTCTTGAAATTGACAATTAACCTCTGTTTGGTAAGTTTATCAGATCTTTAGTCCATTAATAAAGACAGGTGTTTTCATGGCTATTTTGCTGTTTTCCATTTCTTAAAAATTCTTTTGACTGAGGGGAGAAGTTAAATAGTTTGGATGAAGGAAAAATGGAAAGGCACAGATGCAAATTGTACCCTGCATCATGCATCTTGTTTTTCTGTTGCACATCTCGGTTGTCTGAGGATATGTATTCAATGGGTAGGTTCTTGCTTTTGCTTTTTTTTTTTTTTTTTTTTTTTTGTCCGTTTACTTGTAAAGAACTGATCCCTGGAGATGAGAAAGGGATTTGAGTAAAATGTGAAGTTGTCTTTTTAGATCCTGAAAATAATGCTGGTAAAAGATTCAGCCCAAATGAAGATTTTGGATTATGTGTGGTTTTCACTTCTATTTGATGCTTTGGGTCCTTTTTGCCGTGGAAAATTGAGAGTTGACTGAACATGTCAACTACCCAACTAATATAACCTTCTGAGGAAAATTTATTCTTTGCACTCCTTTGACTTTTTATTGTGATGAAAAGAGAGAAAAAAAAAAAAAAAACCCAGAGACTCAACGGGCTGTAACTTTAATAGGTCATTCCAGCCAGTGCTTACCTTCACAAAATTCTGATAATACGGGGAAGACAATACAGTGATCAAAAGCAGTGATGAGATTTTTTAGCAGCATTAACCGTCATGACCTAGCAAAATGAAAGAAAATGGTTTAACAGAACTGTCAGCTTCAATATAGCTAATAAAGGCATGGATAAATGTTTATTACATACCGGAGACAGATCATTTCTGTACAGAAATTGAGGATGACCTTTACTGATAACTCTTATCTGCCTGATATCCTGAGCGAGAGGGAGAGACAGAGGGGAGAGAAGCATATTTGCTGATATTTATGAAAGGAGAAATTATCATGTGCAAATAAAACATTTTAGCAGTGATTATCTCAAGTCACCCTCTTGCCCTCACCTCCACCCCCACAGACATACCTCATGGAGGTATAATGTACATTCTTCTCTAGGAGACCAAATATGCCTCAAAGAAGCATTGGTAATCCTCCCCCGCACGGGCCTAATAACCAGTTCCGCGCTCGAGTCGACGCGCGCCGGCGGGCTGCAGAAGCAGGTATGTCGGCTGTCCTGCAGCGCGTCGAGCGGCTGTCCAGTCGGGTGGTGCGCGTCCTGGGCTGTAACCCGGGACCCATGACCCTGCAGGGCACCAACACCTACTTGGTAGGGATCGGCACCAGGAGAATCCTCATTGACACTGGAGAACCAGCAATTCCAGAATATATCAGCTGTTTAAAGCAGGCTCTGACTGAATTTAACGCAACAATCCAGGAAATCATAGTGACTCATTGGCACCATGATCATACTGGGGGCATAGGAGATATTTGTAAAAGCATCAGTAATGACACTGCATATTGCATTAAAAAACTCCCACGGAATCCTCCGAGAGAAGAAATTATAGGCGATGGAAAGCAACAGTATGTTTATCTGGAAGATGGAGATGTGATTAAAACTGAAGGTGCCACTCTCAGAGTTATACATACACCTGGCCACACTGATGATCATATCGCTCTACTTTTAGAAGAGGAGAATGCGATCTTTTCTGGAGATTGCATCCTAGGGGAAGGAACAACTATATTTGAAGACCTCTATGATTATATGAACTCCCTAAAAAAGCTATTGAAAGTCAAAGCTGATATTATATATCCAGGACATGGCCCAGTAATTCATAACGCTGAAGCTAAAATTCTAGAATACATTTCTCACAGAAATATCTGAGAACAGCAAATTCTTACATTGTTTCGTGATAATTTTGAAAAATCATTTACAGCAATGGAGGTTGTAAAAAACATTTACAAGACTATTCCTGAGCATTTATATAAAATGGCTGAACATAATGTCTTGCTTCACTTGAAAAAATTAAAAAAAGAAGGAAAAATATTTAGCAACACGGATCCTGAGAAGAAATGGAAAGCTAATCTTTAGTTTCAGATTAATGAAAGCTTTTGTTGGCTTGTTTTATTTTTAGAGAATGGTATGTTTTCTTAACTATAATTATTTACAGGGAATATAGAGTATAGAACATTGAAAATAATCCTAAATATACTTTAAAATAATGTCTTATTTCATCTAAAATATATATTACACTTTACATGTATAATATAGGTCGCTTATCTAATCTGAATGGTATAACATTTTACCAAAAATTCAGAATCCAACAGTTTATCCATGTTCAACAGATTTATGGTTACTTTAAAAAGAATAAAATTTGTATAAGTTAAAAAAAAAAAGAAGCATTGGTAAATTCATGGAAATTCTTAAAAATGTAAAAAAGCAAAGAATAGGAGCACATGTATATGAATAGTTATATCAGTAACATCGACTTTTAATTTCTTCTAAGACATGACAAAGATATTGCAATTATAGGACATGGTCTTCTAATAAAATGGTCTCAATTGTAGCTAGGAATTTAAAAGAAATTAGTAATAACCAATCCATGTCCATTCTGCCATAAATTACTTTGCTGATATCCATAACAATGTTTAGAACTTTTGAAAGACAATGCAATTTAAGTACCATTACTTATTTATTTTTTTAGTACCATTACTTATCGATATTAGTGTTTTTATTCTTACTATGAAACTACACAGTAGTTGTGATGATGGTATAAATAATGGTGGAGGTATTAATTAATTAATTATTTTTTATCCCCAAAGGAGATTTCTTTGTACTTCAGTTCAAACTGTTTATAATTTAAGTTGAGCTGTCATCAAAAATATAAGTGAACATTTGATGTGATAATTTGGGTAATTTAAGTAAGAAAAAGTAGATTTACCTGAAATATTTAAACCCTAAGCTTGTTTTTTGTTTGGAGACACATGTCAAATCTTGTTACATTGTTCCTGGAATAGTTCCATGCGTCTGGTGGCTGCCCAGGACATTTTAATTAATGACAGTATTTATGACAAAAAAGAAATCTCGGACACTTGGGGATTTTTCTACATATTCTTATTTTGAGATATGTTTATATATAGGACTAGTTTCACTCTGAACTTAAAGTTTTTTCAGAAGGCATAAAACCCAACATGAATAGTAGATTACAAGTGGGAAGAACAGACATGCAGTGAATGGAACTCATTTGACATTGAAATTGACAGTTCTTGTTTTTAAATTAAATTCGATTTAGTAATAGAGGTGGAACTGGAAACCTCTTATCCCCTTAGCTCTATGGCTTAATTAATTGTCGTTTTTATCCTTCCCTTCAGAGGCTCACTTATTTTTTCTATTTTTTTTAAACAAGCCTACAGGCCACTGTTTTGCACACCTAATATGCAGAAGCTCTGCCAAAAGGGTTGGTTGTATTTAGGAGCCATAGTTGGCACTGGGTGCTTAGAAAAAGGGAAGTGACTCCTCTCTCCCTTTCTCTCTCTGTTTTGCAGCTGCAGCAGCCATGTGTTCCCTTGGCCCATTTGGGCTGCTCTAAGCCGCCGACTCTGCCACTATTAGAATGAGTTTTCCAGAATGTCACAGGGGGTTTGTTTGGCATTTAATATTGAATATAGACTCCACTGAGGCTGAAACAGGCAACACAAACAAAATCTTGCAGATGAGGTAAAACAACAGTTTGTGCCTTGTCATAAACATGTCATTTTGTGCCTCTGACCCAATCTCCACACCCAGTTTTCCTCTAAGCACTATTTCTCTGTTGACACACAGGAACTGTTGGTGAGACACACACACACTTACACACATTCACAAAGAGAGAGAGACAGAGACAGAGAGAAGGAGAGCAAGTGCAAGCATCAGACATGGAAATCTGTCACTTCTCTTTGATCTCAATAGCTGATTTAATTTAGAAATTATAAGTTTGCAAATACCTGATAGCAGAAAGGAACTAGAAAGAGGTCTTTTAATTATTTCTGTCTACAATCTTAAACTATCATGTTGGAGCTATAAAGAACAGTAAAGTTGTAATTTGATGAAATTGTACTTTGATGAAGAATAATTAAATATTTACTCTAAAAGATTTCTCATTAGAATAACACAGCTTTTAGATTTATAGTTTTCTGCATTGTTCAGATTTGGTGTCTAAAATAAGTTAAAACAGGAATGAGGTTGACTATTTTTAGTGGTTATGTGAAAACTGAAAGCCTCAGAAATCTATTTGGATTAATTAATTTCTTAAAGATTTTTTTTCCAGTGAATAATTATGAATACTTTGTCTGACAAAAGATGAGGTGACTCACTGATCCTGCCATGTTTTGATAAATACTAACCAAGAAGTGTATCTGCTACCTGTCCTGGGTAATATATAATCTTTATGTCTTTACTTTATCAGCACCATGTGTAGACTTTATTATAGACTGTTTTAAGCACATGTCACATGTATTAATTGATTTAATGCTAATGATTACATCCTTATTTTATACATAGGGAAACTGAGGCATAGAGAACTTAGGTAATTTGTTCAAGCTCATGGAGCTAGTGTTATAGCCAGCATTTACCTCAGGGAGTCTAACCCCAAAGAACTTCTCTGTTGTCATGCTTTGCTGCCTCTTAAATACCAAGGGATTGGAATTGAGATAGTTATAAAGCAGAGTCTGTATGACTTTGGGTAGTGTGTGGTCTGAGTACCAATTTTGTAAATAATACTAAGTGATTGAAAGCATTAATTGGCTCTTTTTCTCATAAAGCTGGAGGGAAAAAAAGCAGGCAAACATAAATAATATATGTGTATATCCACCTGTTTGTGGAGTTAGTTAGGGTGGAGTAAAAAGGCATTTCTCTTACCCCACCTCTCTCCCAGTACCTCTTCATGTTTCCTGGATTGACTTTTATTTGTCTTTTCTGCCAGTCTTTTTCTGCCATTGAGCATTCATGGGGAACCTCAGTGGGTAGGACATAGTCCTTTCCCTTGCCGTCTAGGTGAGGAGACAGATTAATATCCTGCCCAGGGTTCTGGGGAAGCAGATGGAGCAGATATCATATACTGGCTGAGCCCAGGAAGAATGCTTGGTGAAATCTTCTGATTAAAAGGAAGAGAAAAATTACTTTTATATTCATAAAAAGTAATTTCTGTTTATAAAAGTAATTCTTAATATAGAAAATTTAAGAAGTGTTAAGAAAAGAGCAATCCCCTTTAAGATTAGCAGGCAGAAAGAAATATATAAAATCTTGGTGTATATCAAGGCTTTTTTTAATGCCCTAGGCATATATTTTTATAAATTTGGAATCATACCAAATATAATATTTAATATAATATTTGAATATTTTCATGAACATATGCTGTTCTATAACATGACTTCTTTGGGTCTGCAAGTATTTATCATATTAGTGTATTGTACCTATATTCTTATTGGATATCTAGGTTGTTTCCATTTATTCACTACTATAAATACAGGGATAATTAACATCCTTAAAAATGTTGTGCAAATCTGATTGGGCTAGAATATGTGGTTATTTATATTTTTTTAGTTCATATTGCTCAGTTGTCATCTTGAAGAATATACCGATTTATATTCCCACCAGCATAGTATAAATAGTAGCACAGTCTTACCAGTAATGTTATTTTTTTAACAAAAATTCTATTTCTTAATTGATGTAGTACTATTTGGATCCTATATTTCCCCTTGAGGGAGCTTTAGTAGGATGTGCCTTTCAAGGAATTTGTCCATTTAATGTAAGATGTTAGATGCACTGGAATAAAGTTTTTGTACTATTCCATTAGTATGCTTTCATACTAATCTATAGCTCACCTGCCTCTATCACTCCTCTATATTGATAATTTGTGTTATCTCTTTTTTGTTCCTCGTTAGTCTTGCTAGAGGTTTATTGATTTTATTGATCTTACTAAAGAAGTACTTTGAGAAGCATTGATTTTTTTTGTTTTCTATTTAAGTTGATATCTGATTTTTACTATTTTCCTTTAAATATTTGGGGTTTAATTATTCTTCCTTTTCTGAGGAAGTTGAGGTAATTAATTTGAGAACTTCAATTTTAATAGAGATACTTAGTGCTACATATTTCCCTCTAAGTACTGCCTTAGAAACATTTCATAGATTCTGATATGTTGTATTTTTCATTTGCATGCAATTCAAAATACTTCCTAGTTTCTCTTTTGATTTCTTCTTTGATCCATGAGTTCTTTAGAAGTTTGTTATTTGAGAATTTTTCAGACACTTTTATAGATTTCTAATTTAGTTTGTGGTTAGACAATATACCTCATATGACTTGAAATCTTTTGAATTTATTGTACTTGTTTTATGACCCAGAATATATTTTTGTCTAGGTAAATGATCCATGTGCCCTTGAAAAGAATGCATATTCTGCTATTGTTGGGTTGAGTGTTCTACAAATGCCAAGTGTATCAATTTTGTTGATAGAGTTGTTCTAGTCTTCTATATTCTTTTTTTTTTTTTAATTTTATTTAATTGAGAGAGAAAGTGAGAGTGAGCCTGAGCCAGGGGTGGAGGGCAGAGGAAGAGAGAATCCTCAAGCAAACTCCCTGCTGAGCACTGAGCGGGAGCTCAGAGCCCCATGCAGGGCTCATCCCAGGACCCTGAGATCATGACCTGACCCCAAATCAAGAGTCTGCTGCTCAATCAACTGAGCCACCCAGGTGCCCCCAAATCTTTTGTATTCTTTTTTTTTTTTTTTAAGATTTATTTATTTGAGAGAGTGAGCAAGAGAGAGTACAGGTGGGGGGGTGCAGAGGAAGAGGGAGAGAGAGAATATCCAGCAGACTACTGTCTGAGCATGTAGCTGGACGTGGGGCTTAATCCCTCCATCCTGAGATCAAAACCTGAGTGGAAATCAAGAGTCTGACACTTTAACCGACTGAGCCACCCAGGCCCCAATAGAAATTTTTTTTTAATGGTTCAATTTTATCTCCTTTTTTTTTATTGTTACTTATAACTCTTCACTCTTACTTTAGTAGTTGCATTGATATTATTTACTTCATGTTTAGTACAAGTAATGTTTAGTACTAGTACTCTTGGATAGCTTTTTTTATTTGACTATATTTTCAATCTCATTAATCTTTTCTTCAGCAACAGTTACTCTGTTAATCCCATCAATTTTATGTTTCCCATTTCAGACATTGTTTTCAACTCTAGAAATTCAGTTTGGGTCCTTGTAAAGAATATATCTTCCATGTCTCTACTTAGCATGTCATTTTTTTCTCTACCTTTTTAAACATATTGAATACAGTTATAATAATTTTTTAATATATGTGTATATTTTGTCATCTCTGTCATTTTTGTT